CATGGGTGTACATGGGAGGCACTAGCACATGGATGTACATGGGAGGCACTAGCATATGGGTGTACATGGGAGGCACTAGCACATGGGTGTACATGGGAGGCAGTAGCACATGGGTGTACATGGGAGACAGTAGCACATAGAAGGCACTAGCACATGGGTGTACATGGGAGGCACTAGCACATGGGTGTACATGGGAGGCACTAGCACATGGGTGTACATGGAAGGCACTAGCACATGGGTGTACATGGGAGGCACTAGCACATGGGTGTGCATGGGAGACACTAGCACATGGGTGTACATGGGAGGCACTAGCACATGGGTGTACATGGGAGGCACTAGCACATGGGTGTACATGGAAGGCACTAGCACATGGGTGTACATGGAAGGCACTAGCACATGGGTGTGCATGGGAGACACTAGCACATGGGTGTACATGGGAGGCACTAGCACATGGGTGTACATGGGAGGCACTAGTACATGGGTGTACATGGGAGACACTAGCACATGGATGTACATGGGAGACACTAGCACATGGGTGTACATGGGAGGCACTAGCACATGGGTGTACATGGGAGGCACTTGCACATGGGTGTACATGGGAGACACTAGCACATGGGTGTACATGGGAGGCACTAGCACATGGGTGTACATGGGAGACACTAGCACATGGATGTACATGGGAGGCACTAGCACATGGGTGTACATGGGAGACACTAGCACATGGGGGTACATGGGAGGCACTAGCACATGGGTGTACATGGGAGGCACTAGCACATGGGTGTACATGGGAGACACTAGCACAAGGATGTACATGGGAGGCACTAGCACATGGGTGTACATGGGAGGCACTAGCACATGGGTGTACATGGGAGACACTAGCACATGGATGTACATGGGAGACACTAGCACATGGGTGTACATGGGAGGCACTAGCACATGGGTGTACATGGGAGGCACTAGCACATGGATGTACATGGGAGACACTAGCACATGGGTGTACATGGGAGGCACTAGCACATGGGTGTACATGGGAAACACTAGCACATGGGTGTACATGGGAGACACTAGCACATGGGAGACACTAGCACATGGGTGTACATGGGAGGCACTAGCACATGGATGTACATGGGAGGCACTAGCACATGGATGTACATGGGAGACACTAGCACATGGATGTACATGGGAGACACTAGCACATGGGTGTACATGGGAGGCACTAGCACATGGGTGTACATGGGAGACACTAGCACATGGGTGTACATGGGAGACACTAGCACATGGGTGTACATGGGAGGCACTAGCACATGGGTGTTCATGGGAGGCACTACCACATGGGTGTACATGGGAGACACTAGCACATGGATGTACATGGGAGACACTAGCACATGGGTGTACATGGGAGGCACTAGCACATGGGAGGCACTAGCACATGGGTGTACATGGGAGGCACTAGCACATGGGTGTACATGGGAGACACTAGCACATGGGTGTACATGGGAGACACTAGCACATGGGTGTACATGGGAGGCACTAGCACATGGATGTACATGGGAGGCACTAGCACATGGGTGTACATGGGAGGCACTAGCACATGGGTGTACATGGGAGGCACTAGCACATGGATGTACATGGGAGGCACTAGCACATGGGTGTACATGGGAGGCACTAGCACATGGGTGTACATGGGAGGCACTAGCACATGGATGTACATGGGAGACACTAGCACATGGGTGTACATGGGAGGCACTAGCACATGGGTGTACATGGGAGGCACTAGCACATGGATGTACATGGGAGGCACTAGCACATGGGTGTACATGGGAGGCACTAGCACATGGGTGTACATGGGAGGCACTAGCACATGGGTGTACATGGGAGACACTAGCACATGGGTGTACATGGGAGACACTAGCACATGGGTGTACATGGGAGGCACTAGCACATGGGTGTACATGGGAGGCACTACCACATGGGTGTACATGGGAGACACTAGCACATGGATGTACATGGGAGACACTAGCACATGGGTGTACATGGGAGGCACTAGCACATGGGAGGCACTAGCACATGGGTGTACATGGGAGGCACTAGCACATGGGTGTACATGGGAGACACTAGCACATGGGTGTACATGGGAGACACTAGCACATGGGTGTACATGGGAGGCACTAGCACATGGATGTACATGGGAGGCACTAGCACATGGGTGTACATGGGAGGCACTAGCACATGGGTGTACATGGGAGGCACTAGCACATGGATGTACATGGGAGGCACTAGCACATGGGTGTACATGGGAGGCACTAGCACATGGGTGTACATGGGAGGCAGTAGCACATGGGTGTACATGGGAGACAGTAGCACATAGAAGGCACTAGCACATGGGTGTACATGGGAGGCACTAGCACATGGGTGTACATGGGAGGCACTAGCACATGGGTGTACATGGAAGGCACTAGCACATGGGTGTACATGGGAGGCACTAGCACATGGGTGTACATGGGAGGCACTAGCACATGGGTGTACATGGGAGGCACTAGCACATGGGTGTACATGGGAGGCACTAGCACATGGGTGTACATGGGAGGCACTAGTACATGGGTGTACATGGGAGGCACTAGCACATGGGTGTACATGGGAGACACTAGCACATGGGTGTGCATGGGAGGTACTAGCACATGGGTGTACATGGGAGACACTAGCACATGGGTGTACATGGGAGGCACTAGCACATGGGTGTACATGGGAGGCACTAGTACATGGGTGTACATGGGAGGCACTAGCACATGGGTGTACATGGGAGACACTAGCACATGGGTGTACATGGGAGGCACTAGCACATGGGTGTACATGGGAGGCACTAGCACATGGGTGTACATGGGAGACACTAGCACATGGGTGTACATGGGAGACACTAGCACATGGGTGTACATGGGAGACACTAGCACATGGGTGTACATGGGAGACACTAGCACATGGGAGACAGTAGCACATAGAAGGCACTAGCACATGGGTGTACATGGGAGGCACTAGCACATGGGTGTACATGGGAGGCACTAGCACATGGGTGTACATGGGAGACACTAGCACATGGGTGTACATGGGAGGCACTAGCACATGGGTGTACATGGGAGGCACTAGCACATGGGTGTACATGGGAGACACTAGCACATGGGTGTACATGGGAGGCACTAGCACATGGGTGTACATGGGAGGCACTAGCACATGGGTGTACATGGGAGGCAGTAGCACATGGGTGTACATGGGAGGCACTAGCACATGGGTGTACATGGGAGGCACTAGTACATGGGTGTACATGGGAGGCACTAGCACATGGGTGTACATGGGAGGCACAAACATATGGGTGTACATGGGAGGCACTAGCACATGGGTGTACATGGGAGGCACTAGCACATGGGTGTACATGGGAGACACTAGCACATGGGTGTACATGGGAGACAGTAGCACATGGGTGTACATGGGAGGCACTAGCACATGGGTGTACATGGGAGGCACTAGCACATGGGTGTACATGGGAGGCACTAGCACATGGGTGTACATGGGAGACAGTAGCACATGGGTGTACATGGGAGGCACTAGCACATGGGTGTACATGGGAGGCACTAGCACATGGGTGTACATGGGAGGCACTAGCACATGGGTGTACATGGGAGGCACTAGCACATGGGTGTACATGGGAGGCACTAGCACATGGGTGTACATGGGAGGCACTAGCACATGGGTGTACATGGGAGGCACTAGCACATGGGTGTACATGGGAGGCACTAGCACATGGGTGTACATGGGAGGCACTAGCACATGGGTGTACATGGGAGGCACTAGCACATGGGTGTACATGGGAGGCACTAGCACATGGGTGTACATGGGAGGCACTAGCACATGGGTGTACATGGGAGGCACTAGCACATGGGTGTACATGGGAGCAGTATAGCAGGGTCATCCCTGGAGGGCCGGATGGTACTCGGGGAACGATAGGGTGAACCACTCTACAATGACCAGTTTACTCTATGTCTAACTAGGCTGGGCGTATCAGATGAGCTGATTCGCTCAGGTGGCTCCAATAAACCTCTCGTTTATTTTATTGTTTTGTTTTTGTATTTATATATATATATATATATATATATATATATATATATATATATATATATATATATATATATATATATATATATATATATATATATATATAAGAGTTCTACCATTCTCGTACAGCCACTATCACTCATAGCGTTTAGGTCCTTAATCATATGCTCCTCAGAATGTCTCGCCAAATCATTTAACAACCAGGTACCCATTTTACTGTTGGGTAAATAGAGGCTTCATTAAAAATTGACGCCCAGTAAAATCCTCGCCGGCCAAGATACGAACCCAAGACAAAGCGCTCACGAAACGCCTGGCGAGTGATTTACCACTGCATCACGGGGACTGCTGTAACTCCCCCCCCCCCCCCGTACTCAGGGGTAATAACTGCTGGGTAGGTTCCTTGATGAAGGAACATAATGGTGTGCACCGGTCTCCCTACATGGAGACATCTTGCTTGTGCATCTCACAGCAGGCAGGACAGGGGCCCAGGAGCTACGTACCTGCAGGCGACACATAACTGTTCCCCTCACCACGTCTCGGCACCATCCACTGAGGGACAGGAAGCCACTATGGCTCCTCCCAGAAAGAGCATTGAATTACTTTCAACATTAGATTTATATTTACACTATGATACCCATGCCACCAAGTTAATGTGTACATATTACAACAGTTCCTCTGCCATCCATTGTTCACAATTTCCCTGTAAAAGGTAATTTCCAATATTCTTTTTTAGTTAGTTTCTGATTTTGGATTTTTGCATCAATAAGATTGACTTTGAATTTTTGAAGGACCATTACTTAAGCTTTTGATGGTGTGTGAGGCAGCACGTCTCAGCGGCTCCTGTGTCAACTGGCGGCCAATGTTAACACTTGTGTCCTGCGTGTTGCACCTTGTAGGTGTGTGTGGGTGTGGCAGGTGTGGGAACAAGAGACTGAGGGTTCTCCTGCTGATGGTGATAGTGCTGGGACTACTCGCCTTCTATCACCAGTCTACCATCTCACCAACGGTCAACTTTGGTCCCAGTTCGTGTGCCAGAGTGGGGGCAGAGGTGCTGGAGTGGCACTACAGGTTACGGCTAGCCAAAACACTTGATGCTCTCCATACAGATGTCAATCATCAATTAAGTAAGCTCTTCTGTTATATGTATTGGTTTATGTATATTATATTATATATTTTATATATTATATATATTATGTATTATATGTTTGTTTATGTATGTATATTATATTATATGTATATTTATGTATATTATATTGTATGTATGTTTATGTATATTATTTTATTTGTATGTTTATTTATTTATTTATTTCATTTATTTATTTATATACAAGAAGGTACTCTGGGGGTTAACAGAGATCATAGAAATTAAGTTGAATTAACATTCTTGTAAAGCCACTAGCACGCATAGCGTTTCGGGCAAGTCCTTATACAGATAATTTGTAGATAATTAACAGTAAAATTGAAAAAAAAAATTGTACAGGTACTTTACAGCTTTACTTTACAGGTACAGATAATTATAAGTAGAATAATTACAATAAAATTAACAGAAAATGTTTACAGATACATTGCAAGAAATTTTGACACAAAAGCAGATTAGAATAATAAACAATAATGGACGGGGTTACTCTCGCTTTTTTTCTAGAATATCCGGAAGGGTTTGGAGTTCAAGTAATTTGTTGAAGAGCAATGCAATGGCAGGAGCTAGAAATCTGGAGGCTTTTTTGTAAATCAGAGATGGTATCTCATCAAGGGCGCTTGACTTATTTTTAAGGGAAAGGATTACGTCATTAACATGAGAGGAATTAGCGGGAGTTAGGTACAGAGACTCTGGGTAGTTACCTGTAAGGTAGTCTTTATATTAGTGAGTGAGGATGGAATATCATGAGCAAGGGTTGTCCTAATGTATGAGAAGAACCTATTGAATTCAATAGCAGTGTCAGAGGCTGATTGCACACCATCATCATTGGATAGGAGAATTGTTTTTTATTCAAAATCTTTCTTGTCCTAATACTAGCAGTACCCGGCCATGCGTTGCTGTGGCTCAGCAACGCATGTGCGTTGCTGAGCCACAGCAACCTTCCCTGTCCCCCAGTCTTCCCCATCATTCCCCCCTCACCCATCTCCTCGGCCTCCCAACCATTCCCCACTCCACCGTCCCCTCGTCCTTCCCACCATGCCCCACTCCACCGTCCCCTCGTCCTTCCCACCATGCCCCACTCCACCGTCCCCTCGTCCTTCCCACCATGCCCCACTCCACCGTCCCCTCGTCCTTCCCACCATGCCCCACTCCACCATCCCCTCGTCCTTCCCACCATGCCCCACTCCACCGTCCCCTCGTCCTTCCCACCATGCCCCACTCCACCGTCCCCTCGTCCTTCCCACCATGCCCCACTCCACCATCCCCTCGTCCTTCCCACCATGCCCCACTCCACCATCCCCTCGTCCTTCCCACCATGCCCCACTCCACCGTCCCCTCGTCATCCCCACCATGCCCCACTCCACCGTCCCCTCGTCCTTCCCACCATGCCCCACTCCACCATCCCCTCGTCCTTCCCACCATGCCCCACTCCACCATCCCCTCGTCCTTCCCACCATGCCCCACTCCACCGTCCCCTCGTCCTTCCCACCATGCCCCACTCCACCGTCCCCTCGTCCTTCCCACCATGCCCCACTCCACCGTCCCCTCGTCCTTCCCACCATGCCCCACTCCCCCATCCCCTCGTCCTTCCCACCATGCCCCACTCCACCATCCCCTCGTCCTTCCCACCATGCCCCACTCCACCGTCCCCTCGTCATCCCCAGCATGCCCCACTCCACCGTCCCCTCGTCATCCCCAGCATGCCCCACTCCACCGTCCCCTCATCATCCCCACCATTCCCCACTCCCTCGTCCGATGCCTTCCCAAAAGGTCTGATGTTCCCTCCAAAAAATTGGGAACATCATCAAGTGATCTGACGTTCCCGTCACTAAAATATAAGAAAAACAGTTAAAAAGTGAAATGAAAATATGAAAAAAAATAAAAAATAAACTATACTCATGAAATGAACGGTATGGTAAAAACACAGCTCATTCCAACGCATTTCACACAAAATAATTAAATCAAAATGAAAATATATCAAAATCTATGAAAATTAAATATAACAATGCAATCAGAAACATTGAAATGGAATTCGTGACATAATTAGTATAGCGTGCATGTTGCTAATATGTGCAACAGATGGCGCTGTTTTCCAAAAACGCATGTTTTTACCTGTCACAGGTGTGGCATGTATATAGTAGATATATAAAAAGACGCGCCTATTCGAATGCAACGTCGTGCCAAAATTTCAAAGCAATCGGTATAGAGGTTTCGAAGATTTCCCTCACATGAAAAACACATAAAAAACATTTTTCAGAAAAAGCATGTATTTTTTACCGTCACAGACGTATCATCTATATAGTATGTATATAAAAACCTGCTCGGATGCGAATGGAACGTTGTGTGAAACTTTCAGAGTAATCGGTGAAGAACTTTCGGAGATTAGCGATTTTGAACAAACGAACATTTCCATTTTTTTTTATATAGACTAGCTGGACCCGCCACGCGTTGCTGTGGCTCAGTCTGGTTAGATAGAAAAGAAAGAAAAGAGAAAGTGCACGTTTCAAAATTTTTTAATTTCACAATGCTTGTGGGCATACAATACGTTTTGTTGTTCCATTGTCTGTGGAGATATAGAGATTGTCTGGTTTGCCGACTCTAGAACACGCAACATATAATTGTCCATGTGAGAAGCAATCCGTGTCTAGATATAAACTGCACAATTCTAAAGATTGGCCCTGAGCTTGGTTATTGGTGATTGCAAACGCATTCGAATTGGAAATTACATTCAGTTAAATTGAAATGGACCATATCTGTTGGAATCATAGGAACGAGAGGAATGAGGACATCTTCACCTTTGAAAAATCCTGTCAAGATTGTTGCTTCTACGACGCTGCTGATTATTTTTTTATTGCAAGTCGCGTGCCGTTGCAAAGCTTTGTCTGGTTAATATCTCGCAACATGATAATTGGCACGCAGATTTTCAATTGCAGTACGTGCGGTGGTATCCCTGGCAGAACGAGTGAATTCAAAAATTCTGTTGGATCATTAACCACTTCATCTGCTTCCACAATAATGTCGACGGTCTTGTGTGTGACTGCCTCGCTTTGAATGTTGGAATGAATAATATTGTTAAGGTCGTAAACGTCTTTGTTCTTGGCCCCAAGAATAGCTCCTTTACTCAGCATATCGTGATTCTTATAATTGGTTTGAATATTGGAAAATACTTTTACAACCAATTCTTCTTTTGACGTCACTAAATTGCAGAAGTAATGAGGGAATGAAATTCGTCCTGAGGTCAGATCAACCGGCACGTTTCCGTTCCCAGTTTCCAGAAATTGATGTGAGAATATCTCAGCTGATGGATCGTTGTGCAGCTGGACACGCACATGTGTAGTTAACTTTAACGTCTTTACGTTATGCCACAAAGTACAGCATTTCAGGCAAGCATTTATTTCGTCCGCTGGTGTCGATCGAGGCATTAAAGGAAATGTTTGCCTGAAATCTCCTGTAAGCAATATTAATGCACTCCCAAATGATCTGATGTTTCCACGCAAATCTTGCAATGATCGATCAAGAGCCTCGAGAGATATTTTGCAGTCCATTGTGCATTCATCCCAAACAATAAGTTTGCATTTCTGCAATACTTTTCCCATGCCAGATGCTTTGGAAATGTTGCACGTGGGAGTTTCAATGAATTGCATGTTCAATGTCCATTTCAAAGCCGAATGAGCAATTTTTCCATCTGAAAGCAATATCGCAGCTATTCCGGACGACGAAAGAGCTATGATTATGCCATTTTGGAATCGAATTGCTGCCAGAATCAATGTAACTAGGAAAGTTTTACCAGTTCCTCCTGGCGCATCTAAGAAGATTTCTCCAATCCCATATTGACAGTATTAATTATTTGGTAGTAAATGCTTTTTTGCTCAAGCGTTAGCTTAGGAATATTTGATTGCACATACGACAACAGATCACCCGTGTTGTAATTTTGTTCACGACGCAATTCTACAACGAACGAAGCCGCAGCAGATAGATTCGGTGATGGCATTCCCAACTGAATGAGAACTTTGTTCGCGATTTCTAAGCACAAATCTTCAATCATTATCAACGTTTCTTTGTAGATTTCTACTGTGAAATCCATGTTCATATTTGAATTTTCCTTGCGTATTCGACGGACAGTATCTGAAGTCGTTTGCAATTTACATTTCTCCCATAACTGTGTTGGAGATGGAGAGCATGCGGTCAATACGATTTCAAACAATGCACGAATCTGATTTGGATGTGACGTGTTTCACACGTCATTAATGCATACGTCACAGTGTCGGTCGTTCTCCAATAAATTCAGAGCTTGACATGCACTACGAAAAGTGGTACGTGTTACGCCGTTTGAAAAATCTCAATTGCTGGAAAGACGTTGGACCGGACACATTTACCAACAGCATACAAAGAAGCATTCATCTTGACTGGGATGCACGGTGTCCAGTCTGCCTATCGTAGTGTGTTTGAATATGTCAGGTTGTCCGTCGATTCGCTCTCCTCGTTTGCGTTGTTCATATGATTTTCTGCTGGCATTCCATATGTAATATGCAGCCACTTCCGAATACAGCAGTGTTTTCGCAAACGCATCATTCTGACATAAGGTGAAGAAAGCAGTTAACATTGTAGCCGGTGGATTCATGCCTGTTTGTTGCACATTTGCAGCTGTGAAATAAACGCTTTGTCCATTTTCTTGTTTTCAAAACGAAATAAAAAGTACTAACGAAATATTTCAATTCAAACCCAGATCAATCAACACAGCTCAATTGTACCGTAAATTGCACTGAAAAATAAGAACAGTTAAAAAAGCGAAACGAACAAATTAAAAAAATAAAAATAAGCTATACCTACGAAATGAACAGTATGGTAAACAACACAGCTCAATTTCAACGCAATGTCAAACAATATAAATAAATCAAAATGAAAATAAATCGAAATGTATGAAAATTAAATTTATCAATGCAATTGGAAATATTGAAATGGAATCGTAACATAATTAGCATAGCGTGTCTTGCTCTTACGTGCAACAGATGGCGCTGTTTTTCAAAAGAAGCATGTTTTTATCTGTCACAGGTGTGGCATCTATATAGTATGTATTTAAAAAGACGCGCGCATTCGAGTGGAACGTTGTGTCAAAATTTCAAAGAAATCAGTGAAAAACATTTGGGTAAATTTATTTTCGTTGTATTTTATTTTGGGTCTTTTAATTATTTTAGACAGCATTGATGAGTAAATCTTTGAAAATATTTTGGAGACGACTCCTAATCTATACTTATTCTCAAGGTCATGTTTTTTATTAATAGATTTAAGTATTCCCTTTGTAAGCCATGGAGTGTTTAACCTTTTATTTGTGACTTGTTTCGTTAGCATTGGACAGTGGGAGTTATAATGGCTCAGAGTTTTCTGAAGAAATGTTTGCACTGCTAGGTGCAAAAGAATGCTAGGTGCATTCTTTACTTGTTCAATTATCAGCAAAAATTATTATAGAGTACTGTTTATTATACTATTGAAAAAATAACTTATTTGCACATGTGTGCTTTTCTACTTTGTTTTCAACAAATTATTTATATATTCCTACCAGGAGGTGAGAGGCTGGTGGATGGAGAGTGGGCAGTAAGACTGGAAGCTCTGGTGGCAGAGCTGGCCCCCCATATGGCCAGAAATGCCACCTCCGATTGGGACTATTCTGCCAGACTGTTAGCCATGGGCCCCGCACCTCTTGTGCCCGGCATAACTCGCCACGTGTGTCCCGAGGTCTATATGGGCAGAACATATGATTCTAAATTCCACCAGCATGGTATGGAGACAGAAAAATGCAATTATGTTCCACCCTTCAACAGTGTTCTTACTGCTGTGCTTCCAGCTTTCTCTTGGCCACCTGAGACAATTAACTTCGTCCTGGCGCAGATCAGAACATTTTATGACATCCCTATTATTATTATAGTCCACAAAATACTTACACTCAATACCAAACTGGCAAATGTTATAGTATTACCATATGATAATAACACCACTGGTGAAGCAGATGTGCTGAACAAGGCAATACAGCAGGTGATGACACCATATGTACTGGTGGGGTTGTCACTGGCACACTTCAGTAACCAATCATCGCTGGAGAGGCTGGTGCGGGTACTGGATGAGCTGGATCATGTGAAGGTAGCTGGCGGTGCTGCCAGGGACCTCAAGGGTCACTGGATCCATGGCTGCCTCCAGCAGCGCATGGCTGATTACCAAGCCACCTACACCATGGGTTACTATTACTCCAAATACGAGTGCATGTACTGTGACGATGTGTTAACGCCGTTTGTGACCAGTAGCAACTTGCTGAGGAAGGTGACTTTCAGCGCAGGACTGAAGGGGCCGGCTGTATATCGTGACTGGTTTGCTCAAGTTCGTAGACTGGGCCATTTAACTATGTTGTGTCCTGACGTTATGTTCTTTCTCACCAACCACACCACAATGACGAGTAATGACTGGCTGACTGTAGCACGTCGCTGGGCCCTCCAGAAGGTCTACACCTTCACTGGTGAAGTTCATGAATTCTCGTGTGACTCCGTCAAAATATCCTGCAAAAATCCTCTGAAAATAATAAATTCGTTTCTTTTACCACCATGCTGCAGGGCCATCATGGAAACGGAACTTGGTAACCTCATTGACTTTGCAGAAACCAATAACTTGGAATATGAACTTCACGCAGGCTCAGCCTTGGGAGCAGTAAAGATGGGAGGCTATTTACCATGGGATTTTGATATGGATATTGGCTTTGAAACAAACGACTACAAAAAGTGGTTAACGATGCGTGTAAAGCATCTTAAGAAATACAAATGTAACCTGAAAGTTAACATAAAAAATATATATTTTGTGGTGAACTGTCCATATTTTTTCCTAGAATTTTACTCTGTTGGTAAAATTAACAGCAGACAGTTTCTACCAATAGAGTACAGAAATATATCTACAACAATTTTATATGGAGGCCGATGGATTAAAGTTAGTTCCAATCCAGGCTTACATGCCAGAAATGGCATGGGATTTGACATGTTGAAACATGCCTCACACTGGAGAACTGCAAAGATTTCACAATTAGGAAAAGACAAGGGCGGCTATGACAACCCGGGAGTATGGCAAAAATGTGAAAAACCCGAACACCACTCATGTTATGATCATTATCCTGCAGATGGCAACCTGCCCTTCCTGCAACCCTTTCTCAACGTTTAGCTCAGTTACAACTGGCCATTGTGAGACACGTTGCAACACTACCTCCACCGTTACTTCAATGAAGTAAATGGCGACATAACATAGTTGTAGGCCTTCCTCCAACTGTAACCTGTCTACTGTCAACCAAACATGTCAACTTGGTATTCCTGCCGTCCATCATACACTCAAAAATTATCTAATACGTCAACCCGGCGATCTTGCAGTCCTTCCTTGACCTGCATTTGACATGCCCCTTACACAATGCATTTCAATCACTTGTAACTTGTGTAGTTAAAAAAAAATTTGGGTTCAGTTACTAAGCCACAGAGGTGATGCGCCTCCGAGCAGTGGCATATCCAGGGAAAATAGCGAACACTGAAACTGCACCTCTGTCCAAACATCTGACATCTGTCTCTCACCCCTGTCCAAACACCTGACGCCCATCTCTCACCCCTGTGCAAACATCTGACACCCATCTCTCACCCCTGTCCAAACATCTGACGCCCATCTCTCACCCCTGTCCAAACATCTGACACCCATCTCTCACCCCTGTCCAAACACCTGACGCCCATCTCTCACCCCTGTCCAAACACCTGACGCCCATATCTCACCCCTGTCCAAACACCTGACGCCCATCTCTCACCCCTGTCCAAACACCTGACGCCCATCTCTCACCCCTGTCCAAACACCTGACACCCATATCTCACCCCTGTCCAAACACCTGACACCCATCTCTCACCCCTGTCCAAACACCTGACACCCATCTCTCACCCCTGTCCAAACACCTGACGCCCATCTTTCACCCCTGTCCAAACACCTGACGCCCATCTCTCACCCCTGTCCAAACACCTGACGCCCATCTCTCACCCCTGTCCAAACACCTGACGCCCATCTCTCACCCCTGTCCAAACATCTGACACCCATCTCTCACCCCTGTCCAAACACCTGACGCCCATCTCTCACCCCTGTCCAAACACCTGACGCCCATATCTCACCCCTGTCCAAACACCTGACGCCCATCTCTCACCCCTGTCCAAACACCTGACGCCCATCTCTCACCCCTGTCCAAACACCTGACACCCATATCTCACCCCTGTCCAAACACCTGACACCCATCTCTCACCCCTGTCCAAACACCTGACACCCATCTCTCACCCCTGTCCAAACACCTGACGCCCATCTTTCACCCCTGTCCAAACACCTGACGCCCATCTCTCACCCCTGTCCAAACACCTGACGCCCATCTCTCACCCCTGTCCAAACACCTGACGCCCATCTCTCACCCCTGTCCAAACACCTGACGTCCCCCATCTCTCACCCCTGTCCAAACACCTGACGCCCATCTCTCACCCCTGTCCAAACACCTGACGCCCATCTCTCACCCCTGTCCAAACACCTGACGCCCATCTCTCACCCCTGTCCAAACACCTGACACCCATCTCTCACCCCTGTCCAAACACCTGACGCCCATCTCTCACCCCTGTCCAAACACCTGACGCCCATCTCTCACCCCTGTCCAAACACCTGACGCCCATCTCTCACCCCTGTCCCATCTCTCACCCCTGTCCAAACACCTGACGCCCATCTCTCACCCCTGTCCAAACACCTGACGCCCATCTCTCACCCCTGTCCAAACACCTGACGCCCATCTCTCACCCCTGTCCAAACACCTGACGCCCATCTCTCACCCCTGTCCAAACACCTGACGCCCATCTCTCACCCCTGTCCAAACACCTGACGCCCATCTCTCACCCCTGTCCAAACACCTGACGCCCATCTCTCACCCCTGTCCAAACACCTGACGCCCATCTCTCACCCCTGTCCAAACACCTGACGCCCATCTCTCACCCCTGTCCAAACACCTGACGCCCATCTCTCACCCCTGTCCAAACACCTGACGCCCATCTCTCACCCCTGTCCAAACACCTGACGCCCATCTCTCACCCCTGTCCAAACACCTGACGCCCATCTCTCACCCCTGTCCAAACACCTGACGCCCATCTCTCACCCCTGTCCAAACACCTGACGCCCATCTCTCACCCCTGTCCAAACACCTGACGCCCATCTCTCACCCCTGTCCAAACACCTGACGCCCATCTCTCACCCCTGTCCAAACACCTGACGCCCATCTCTCACCCCTGTCCAAACACCTGACGCCCATCTCTCACCCCTGTCCAAACACCTGACGCCCATCTCTCACCCCTGTCCAAACACCTGACGCCCATCTCTCACCCCTGTCCAAACACCTGACGCCCATCTCTCACCCCTGTCCAAACACCTGACGCCCATCTCTCACCCCTGTCCAAACACCTGACGCCCATCTCTCACCCCTGTCCAAACACCTGACGCCCATCTCTCACCCCTGTCCAAACACCTGACGCCCATCTCTCACCCCTGTCCAAACACCTGACGCCCATCTCTCACCCCTGTCCAAACACCTGACGCCCATCTCTCACCCCTGTCCAAACACCTGACGCCCATCTCTCACCCCTGTCCAAACACCTGACGCCCATCTCTCACCCCTGTCCAAACACCTGACGCCCATCTCTCACCCCTGTCCAAACACCTGACGCCCATCTCTCACCCCTGTCCAAACACCTGACGCCCATCTCTCACCCCTGTCCAAACACCTGACGCCCATCTCTCACCCCTGTCCAAACACCTGACGCCCATCTCTCACCCCTGTCCAAACACCTGACGCCCATCTCTCACCCCTGTCCAAACACCTGACGCCCATCTCTCACCCCTGTCCAAACACCTGACGCCCATCTCTCACCCCTGTCCAAACACCTGACGCCCATCTCTCACCCCTGTCCAAACACCTGACGCCCATCTCTCACCCCTGTCCAAACACCTGACGCCCATCTCTCACCCCTGTCCAAACACCTGACACCCATCTCTCACCCCTGTCCAAACACCTGACGCCCATCTCTCACCCCTGTCCAAACACCTGACGCCCATCTCTCACCCCTGTCCAAACACCTGACGCCCATCTCTCACCCCTGTCCAAACACCTGACGCCCATCTCTCACCCCTGTCCAAACACCTGACGCCCATCTCTCACCCCTGTCCAAACACCTGACCCCATCTCTCACCCCTGTCCAAACACCTGACGCCCATCTCTCACCCCTGTCCAAACACCTGACGCCCATCTCTCACCCCTGTCCAAACACCTGACGCCCATCTCTCACCCCTGTCCAAACACCTGACACCCATCTCTCACCCCTGTCCAAACACCTGACACCCATCTCTCACCCCTGTCCAAACACCTGACGCCCATCTCTCACCCCTGTCCAAACACCTGACGTCCAAACACCTGACGCCCATCTCTCACCCCTGTCCAAACACCTGACGCCCATCTCTCACCCCTGTCCAAACACCTGACGCCCATCTCTCACCCCTGTCCAAACACCTGACGCCCATCTCTCACCCCTGTCCAAACACCTGACGCCGATCTCTCACCCCTGTCCAAACACCTGACGCCCATCTCTCACCCCTGTCCAAACACCTGACGCCCATCTCTCACCCCTGTCCAAACACCTGACACCCATCTCTCACCCCTGTCCAAACACCTGACGCCCATCTCTCACCCCTGTCCAAACACCTGACGCCCATCTCTCACCCCTGTCCAAACACCTGACACCCATCTCTCACCCCTGTCCAAACACCTGACGCCCATCTCTCACCCCTGTCCAAACACCTGACGCCCATCTCTCACCCCTGTCCAAACACCTGACGCCCATCTCTCACCCCTGTCCAAACAAACACCTGACGCCCATCTCTCACCCCTGTCCAAACACCTGACGCCCATCTCTCACCCCTGTCCAAACACCTGACGCCCATCTCTCACCCCTGTCCAAACACCTGACGCCCATCTCTCACCCCTGTCCAAACACCTGACGCCCATCTCTCACCCCTGTCCAAACACCTGACGCCCATCTCTCACCCCTGTCCAAACACCTGACGCCCATCTCTCACCCCTGTCCAAACACCTGACGCCCATCTCTCACCCCTGTCCAAACACCTGACGCCCATCTCTCACCCCTGTCCAAACACCTGACGCCCATCTCTCACCCCTGTCCAAACACCTGACGCCCATCTCTCACCCCTGTCCAAACACCTGACGCCCATCTCTCACCCCTGTCCAAACACCTGACGCCCATCTCTCACCCCTGTCCAAACACCTGACGCCCATCTCTCACCCCTGTCCAAACACCTGACGCCCATCTCTCACCCCTGTCCAAACACCTGACGCCCATCTCTCACCCCTGTCCAAACACCTGACGCCCACCTCTCACCCCTGTCCAAACACCTGACGCCCATCTCTCACCCCTGTCCAAACACCTGACGCCCATCTCTCACCCCTGTCCAAACACCTGACGCCCATCTCTCACCCCTGTCCAAACACCTGACGCCCATCTCTCACCCCTGTCCAGAACACCTGACGCCCATCTCTCACCCCTGTCCAAACACCTGACGCCCATCTCTCACCCCTGTCCAAACACCTGACGCCCATCTCTCACCCCTGTCCAAACACCTGACACCCATCTCTCACCCCTGTCCAAACACCTGACGCCCATCTCTCACCCCTGTCCAAACACCTGACGCCCATCTCTCACCCCTGTCCAAACACCTGACGCCCATCTCTCACCCCTGTCCAAACATCTTGTAATGATCTGTGCAGACCATATAGCTTCTCGCCTTCCCTTTCCCCTTCCAATTTTTCCCCTTCACCTTCCCTCGTTCGCCCCCTCCCCAATTGCCTTATTCCTTTTCCTTCCCCTTCCCTTCCCTTCCCAATTGTTAGACCGACCCTCTGGTCATTCTTCCCCCCCCCCCCCCCCCCTGTTGGCCGTTCCTAGCATATAACTACTCGAGTCAAATTACCTTTAGGCAAGTGGTCAAGTCACTCCTGTTCCCCAATCCTAATCTGTAATCCCTCTAATTTTCGCCACTAATCCTCTTTCCAATCCCTCTTTCCCTCTATTTCCCTGTGCTCTCCATGACCATTGACAGATTTATGGCCATAACATTGGTGCTGTCAAGTTCCCTTGGGTGGCCAGTCCAACCCTACCATGAAGTTAGTTGTTACTGCTTATTTCCCGTTACAGGAGTTTCTGTCAAGAGAAATAGACCCTTATGGTCAAGCCTGGATCTGATTGGTTGAAAACCAGGGAGGCCTAGGAGGTCGGGTTAGGTCCACGGCACTGTTTGGTCTAAGACTCAAGAGGCGGAGTCCCCCAGGGTAGTGCCTGACAACCATTGGCCAAGCCCCAGTGCTTCCAGCTGTGGTTTGAAGTGATTGGTGCTCCTAGCCGGAGCCAAGCTCCAAAGGAAATCCTTAGGTCTCCCAGAGGCAGTTTAAGAGAAAAATAAGTTAGTGTGTCTTGGGGCTTCAACTGGGGGTACAGATATCCTGATCTGGAGGGCAAGTCATTCAACATCTTTGGCAGATTGCAAGGTAAAGTGTGCTGGAGTATTATGTCCATCATTAAGTCAAACTAATTGCCTCTTAGGGTATTTACAGCTAGGATATATC